GCTTCAGTAGTTGTGGCACGTGGGCTCAGTAGTTGTGGCACACGGGCTTAGTTGCTCTGCAGCATGTGGGATCTTCCCGGACCAGGGATTGAACCTGTGTCCCCTCATTGGCAGGTGGATTCTTAACCACTGTGCCACCAGGGAAGTTCCTAGTAGGTGTCTTCGAACTTCTGTCCATTGCCCCCATTCTAGTCCTAGGGACCAGAAGAAAAGGAACCCCTGTCTCTTATCATGGCTTCCTTTCCAAGTTGGAGCTGAAGTATTGAAAACCTGATTGTCACAGGTATGCTGAGGTACTGGTCCCTGTGCCCTCATGTCTACCAAAGTCCCCAACCAGTCCCTGGCCCAGCACATTCAGTATGTTGTAAAAATATAATTTTTCTGAGTGTGTCAGTTGTCAGGGTCCTAGTCCTATGCACCCCTAGGTCAAGAGATAGGTCAATGTAAGCTCTACTTTTTAAAGCCACTTCCACTCTCTGATACAATTCCTACTCCTTGGAGGCTAAGCCATGCAGTTGGCCTGTCATCACTTCTCCTCATCTAACTACGTTCCTCAGTTGTAGAATGGCTTGGGAAGCACCCCTGGTTTCCTTTCCACCTCATGTCCATCCCTCATCCTGAGAGCTTTTGAGGCCACATAGCATCTCAGTTCCTTGACCGTCTCATCTTCAAAAACTTTTTCCTCCTTTGCACTTTGCACTTCAGCCAGGACCCCACTCTCGGATGGCTCTTCATCTGACGCCCATCTCTTAGGATACCCTCCATCTTTCCGCCTGGTACCATCAGTGACTTCCATTACACCTGTTTGGGGACCTTCAGGCCAGTGTCATGAGCATTTCCAGAATTCTCTTACTTAACATCTTGAGCATCCATCCTGTGTCTTTTGTTTTAAGCACTCTTAAAAGCTGAGATCTTAAACTCCTTGACCCCATCACACCTGTCTGGCAAACTGTCTTCCTGGGATTAACCCAATTGCTCATTTTTTTGTGTGCCTGTATCTTAACTGTTCAAACTAACTATAGAAAAATCAAACAACCATCATATTAGTATCACCATAAATTCAGAGTCTCCCTTCTCAATGGGGCCCTCAGTGTTCCTGAAATCTTACCATATTTCCCTGCACTCCAACTTACTGCGGTGACTATTTCAAATTCATAGTCAGACTTTACTGTAAGCTTCTTTAGGGTGGAGTCCCTATCTAGCTTTTCCACCACTAAATCTCCAGTGCCTAGGATAGGCTTAATACATAGGTACTCAATAAGTATCTGTTTACTGACTGACTTGTAGAATAGTGGTAGGCATTTTATGCAAATATTAGTAAATGTTAGCTACTTGCCGGGCTCTATTCTTTGTGAGCTATATGTATTAGCTCATTTAATCCCCACAAACCCCCCAGTGAGGTTAATTAGAACTTTTGTCATGCCCATTTTACAGATAAGGAAATTTAGAGAGGCAACTTAGAGAGATGAAGTGATAAAAACTGTAAGTGGTAGAGTGGGTATTTACTCCTTAGAACCTGTAGAGAGAAAGCTTAGTGGGTCCAGTTGAGTTTTTTACAATCAGGCAACTGTGCTTCATACTGGAGGTCAAGACAAGTGAAAATGAAGATTCATATTTGGGAGGGGACAGATAAACTGGTGACCTCAGAAAACAGAATATCCAACCTTGTTCACACCCTTGCTTTGGCAGAGCACCTCCAACAAGCCCCTGATGAAACTGGGGTGGTGTGTGTGCAGAAAGCAAATTTGGGTGGTAAGGTGCATTTCTTTTTCTCCATGTGAGTTAAGACGTCAATCATATATTTGAATACAAGGGGGTGGATCCATGGTGTATTTGTAGGTGACTTTAATATTGGGTAACATCCCCCCTGGGCTGAAATTCAGCCTTGTTTTTTTTTTTTCTTTCTTTTGCTAAGGTGCATTTTTAAGAGAGACGTTCCAGATTACCTCTCAGGTAGGAGAGATATTGCACTGCTCGAGTCCTTCTTTCCCCTTCACACTAGTTTCTCCCACTGATTCCCTGAGAAAGGGAGAGAGATCACCAACAATGAGCTCCTGTTTGCGTCGGGTCCACATATCTCATGGAAACCTCCCTGCAGTTCTTGGAAGATAATTATCTCCATTTTACAGATAAGAATGACTAACATTTACTAAGTTTATTAAGTGGCACTGTGCTGAGTGTTTTTAGAGCATCATCCCATTCGATTCTCACAGCAATACTTAAAATTGGAACCACTGTATGGATGGGTCAGAGAAGGGAGGTGTCTTGTCCTAGGATACACAGCAGGTTAGAGTTGGCATTTGAACCCAGGTCTTCCTCATCACTCATTTCTGGAGGAACCAAGGGCTTTTTTCCGTGGAAGCAGGGAGAGAGAGGAGGAAATTCGAAGGAGAAGGCTGACGCTGACTTCTACCCAACCCAAACCCGGAGGTCAACGTATATTGCCAGACTCCCAGCTCATCTCCCAACCAGGCCTTGGCCGGAGGCGGGGAAGTGGTGCGCACGCGCACGGCCTCCCGTTCGGCCCCGCCCCCCGTGAGGGCTTCCCTCCTTGCTCTTGGCTCTGGGGCTTGCGCGCTACGTCCCCAGCCAACGGCTTCTTCCCGGTCAGGGACTTCCGGTGCGCGGAGTGCGGTTCCGGGTCGTGGCGCGGCTCGGGGAAACAGGGTTGCTGCCCAGCTGGCGAGCGGCGGTGAGCGGCTGGGGCATGAAGGCGAGCCCGGAAAGCGGCTGCTGAGCCGGCCGGGAGGAGCGCCAGTCCCCGAGGATTCCGAGAGTGCGGAGCTCGGGCAGGGGCCGGGAGGCGCGGGGGAGCCGAGCCATCCCCTCAGGAACGTGTCCCAGGGCCGACCCGGTCCGTAGTGTGGCAGCTGCTTCAGGTAAAGGTTGCCCCAGCCCCTAGCTCCTTCGCTCGCTACCCCCGCCAGCCCACCCGAGGAGCCTGGCGGCCCTCCTCACTCCCCCGCGCTCGGCGCTGCCCAGAGGGCAGCCTGTCTGGCCCTTGCTCAGATCTCCCTTGAGCATCCGTTTTCTGGCCCTTTCGTGGAGGCTACAATGAGCCTGACAGCTGGGTGTGTGATTTGGGGGGAGTAGAAACTAGTGGACTTGGTAGTATTGGGGTTTGGAGAGGGTACTGTTGACTCTGGCAGTTTCTGGCTGTGCCCTCGGCAACATCTAGGTGTCTTAATCTTCATAACGAGAAAATCAAGTTTTTAAAGCATTGTCTGCAGTCCCAGTTTCCCAACTCCCCTTAGCTCCATTGCCCCAAAGGGGTAAACAGCTTCGCAGAACTGTTTTTTTCTAGCCAGAGTGCTGCTGGAACTTTGATTCAGCCTTTTGTTTATGGGAGTGGCATAGAGTCTTCTAGATCTGTTTAAGGCTGGGAAAAAAAAAATCATTTTAGTTTAAGCAAGAGCATTACTTTAACCGGAGACCCAAAAGTTGACTCAGAGATTGGCTCAATTTTCATTCTGAATGAATTGATTTTTGAAGTCTCTCCCAATACCTGGCACTGTGCAAAAGCATCATGTTATAAACCAAAACCAGCAAAGTTCAAAACTTCCCCATGCGTGAACAGTCAAATGGAGACAGGTGTTTACAAACATCGGTTAAAGCAAAGTCAACGTTCTCATTCTGTCAATATTTTGACAAGCAGAAGGGGTGGATTCCTAATTTAAAACAGCAGAAAAGAAGGCACCATGTTTTATTCCTCATATTGTGTGAGCTCGCACAAGATGCTCAATAAACGCTGAAAGAGTTGTTGATGAAGTATTGATATTTGTTTTATCTTTTTCAGTTTACACATTTGCAGGCTTGCTGGGGCCTGTGAGGCATGTAGGCGGCCCCTTTCCCATTCAGCTTTGTGTTCATACCTTTCTTCATCTACTGTGAGGCCTGAGTGTACTCACATTCCTCTACACCTCCTGGCTCCTGGCTAACTTTCCAGCTATGCTTCGAAAGGCCCCCTACCCTGATCCTTTACTCTGGTTACGTAGGACCTAGATGCCTTTGTTGTTTCCTTTGTTGTTTTTTTGTAGGACTTTCTCTCTGCCTAGATTTCTCCTTTTCTGTTTCCACCTATTGAGATGTCACCACGGCCCAGCTGAAATTGGCCTTCCCTCAACCAGGGATCTCAGCTGGAAATGATTTCTTTTCTAGACTCCTATAAACACTCATTATTATATCTACAATTATTTCACTTAGCAAACATCTACTGAGTATGGATATATACCAGGTACCATGCTAGACAATGTAGAGATAAATAAGACTCAGTTCTTGTGTTTTCAATTTAGTGAGTGAGATAAGGAAATAATTCTAACACAGAATGCTATGTACACTGCGGGAGAGTTCTTTCTGTGATCCAGTGGTAGCACAGAAGAGGGGGCGTTATTCACTTTTGAGGAGTGTGCTATGTCCAGGTAACGTTTCATAATGTGGGGTTAACTAAGCTTTGTTATTACTATACTGGAGATTATATTAGGTTTCTCTTGTTTAATCATTTTAACCTCAATTCACAGATTAGGAAGGCTCAGGATAAATTACACATCTGGTATGAGACAGAGCCAGGATTCAAACCCAGGTCTGTCTTATGCCTACATCTGTGCCTTTTCCATTATGTGTTTTTCTTTTCTCACACCGTAGCTCTCTGTATGCAAATACGTATTGAAACAGCTATACAAGAGAAAAAATATCAATGTCAATATGAATGTCAGATAGTCCTTTAAATGTAGAGAAGACCTTAATCTTCCAAGGCAAGAAGGTAATAGGTGGGTCAGCTCAACGTCGAATGAGTGGACCAGACATTCTGTAGAGAACAACCATGGATGCTGGCTTCAATTCTTGGTCCTTCCTCTTACTAGATATGTGACCTTTGGCAAGTTTCTTAATTCTAAGTATTATTTCCTTCAAGTATAGTTTGGGATGGGGGATGATAGAGACTTCATGAAGTGTTGTGAGCTAATGTGGGTAAAGGGCCTGATTCGTGGCAAGGTTCTCCTGAAAATAGCTGTGAGATGCAAAGATGCAACGCCTGTGGCATGGTTTTAGAGTAGTGAGTAGACCAGCCTGAATAAATCAAACCATTGCTTCTTTCAGTGGGAATACTGGGAAGTAAAGTTGGAGGGTCAGGAGGGGGTCAGGGTCAGGGCTTGTGTGTTGGGCAAGAGAGGTCACTTCCAGTTTCTGCTCATAACCTTTCCTGTTAATAAATACCTTGAAGATCTATGATTCATTCAGCTGTGCCAGGGAAAATGTTAGACCCAGGGATACAAAAAGGAGTATAACCAGGTCCCCACCCTGAGGTTGTCAACACTCCCATGGGGCAGACATGTTTGTGCAGGTGAACCATAGCAAAGCATAGTAGGTACTAAGATAGCAGTCCCCACAGGGTACCGTGGAGCACAAAGGAGGAAACACTGATAACAGTAGCTAATGAGCACGTACTGTGTGCCAGCATTGTGTTAAACGCATTCTCATTCATTCCTCTACGGGATGGTGGTATTAGCATTCTGATTTTACAGATGAGGAAACTAGAGCACAGAGGTTAAATGAATTCCTTTAGTTTATGCAGTTGTTGGAGCTGAGAGTAGAGGGGATTATCTGCCAGACTTTGGTAACTCCACTCTTCGGTACTGCGCCATGTTGTGTCTTTGTGATGTGGGTGGCTTCGGAGAGGAGCTAGCCCTTGAGCCGTAGCTTCAACGTGCCCATCACCATGCTGGGCAGTAGGAATAATGAGGAATGAACATGGCTTCTGCGCTCAAGGAACTCATCACCTCATCTGTCCCATTAAATATATATACTTAAGTGGGGTGTTTGTTTTGCTTGTTGACTCATAACTGAAGACTTTAGAAACTATTGCAGTTCAGTAGATTATATGTGCTTCAGCTGAGAGAATTTGCTGTAAGTCTGTTATTTTGATATGTAGGCCTTATTGTTAAGGACGCAGCAATAGATGCCATATTATTATGACAAAGAATTCTGTCACATTACATTTTTTCTCTTATGGGAGGTACCCTGACCTTGTGTTTTCTGTGAGTTTGAAGTTTTTGACTCAAAAGTTAGCACATTTCAGCTTGTGTTAAAGTAATTGAGTGCTTACAGTCATCGTTAAATGTTTCTGTATACCTTATTTCCTTCAGTCTTTATGATTCTGTGAGCTAGGGTATTACCAATTTAACACGAGTAACCTAAGCCTTAGTGGTTAAGTGTGTTACCCAAGAGTCGTACAGCTAGTGAGTTGCTAATGCAAAAAAAAAAAAAAAAAAAGTTGGCCAAAGGAGTAAACAAATATTTATTAATTTAGTTCTCTTTTGAACTCTACCTCAGGAGTCTCCAGCTCAAATGCCCATGATGTAATACAAAGAGTAGGACAGACCTTGTGAACTGGAGGGCCCGTGACCAGTCAGTCTGAAGGCAGCAGTCACTACTCAGCTCCAGTTGCTTGTCGTCATGTGAGGAAGTGGATCCAGTATCTCTAGATCTTCCAATTGTTTTCAAGGGATGCTGGAAATCTGGATTTTATGTATTTAGTTTAAAAAACTGCCCTTAAAAAAATTATCACGTAGACCAAAACACATTTGTGGGCTGTGTACAGTCTTAGACTGCCTGATTGTGAACTCTGACCTACCTGCTCACTGAAATTTTGATACCCACTGTTCAAAGCAGGAGGTACAATCCCTGTTGTGATTATTGATCAGAAATCTACTGGTAAATTGCTAGAGTGAGGGGGGTGTTGTATTTGACTCATACTGATATCTTTGGGGAAGTGGCAGGGTAAATGCTTTTATTGTATGATCAGGCTGAATTTCTGGGGGGATGGGGTTTGGATGAGGTGATGATGACCTTGTAATACTTTTGTGCCCTTAGCACTTTAAATGCTGCCAGATCTCTTGTTTCCTTTGGTACTCTCTACAGTACATGAAGTGAACAAGGGGGGTTATCATAACCTCTTGAGATGAAGAAATTGGTGCTCAGTGAATTACAGTTTAGTAGAAAGTGCACTAGACTGAGAGGGACTTGAATTCTGAATGCAGGTATGCCACTAACAGCCTTCTGGTTTTGGTCAAGTCACTTAAAAATCTTTGTATCTTTTTTGCCATCTGGATGATAATGAGGGAGCACGATTGAAGTCTAGGTGAGGTCTTTTCAGGATGCCAAGCTTTCTGATTCTAATTGACATGCTTAAAGCTGCACAACTGATTACTGGCAGACTCCAGTGGAGAACAGTTCAGATCTAAAATGCTGCTTCTCTCTCTCTCTTTTTTTTTTTTTACGGTACGCGGGCCTCTCACTGTTGTGGCCTCTACCGTTGCGGAGCACAGGCTCCGGACGCGCAGGCTCAGCGGCCATGGCTCACGGGCCCAG